GCTGACACTTCGTTCTGGTCGCTTGGTAGACTGAGCGACAACCAAGTTGGACTCTGCCTCGCTCCGTTTTCCGGGTGATGTGCGCGTTTGGCGCTCCTCGGGCTGGCTACGGCGGCCCGTTTGGTCCTGGTTGCGGCTCTGTATCTGGTGACGTAAGTCATCTGGGTTTCGCGGTAGCGGTGCCACTGGCGCATACTGTTCGGTACGCGCTGGCGGATACTGTCCTTTCAGGGCGTCCAACAATCCACCTTCCATCAGCTGCTTGGCCACCTGGTCAACCATGGCTTTGTTGATGTTTTCCAGGATCTGGTTATATGCCGTCGGTGTGGGCATCTCATATCCGTAGGATCGAGAGCCTGACGATGGCCGCCGCTGATGTCCATATGTTTTCGGGGCGGCCGTTGGGCCGCGCCCTGAGGACTGGTCAGAACCCGTGTTACGGGCTCGGCGTTCCCGGTCTCGTTGCTCTTTCCGTTCTCGAGCCGATTGGCTGAGTGGAGGAATCTGAGTTCCGGTGCTGCTCCAGCCAGGTTGTCGGTTGCCACTGCGTTGCATATAGAGATCGTAGATCTCTATCTGCTCATGGTCCCTCAGTAGGGGAAACAGGTGGCTTCCATCTTGGCTGGTCATGTGGCAGTATGCATCAAAGTTGCCTCTCACCACTTCCAAGTAGAAGCAGTAGGCTCTATCACTCTCGTCGCGGAAGCCCGGCCGCAGATGATATGCGCAAGGGAACAATTCCCGTGGGGCGTTGTCCCGGCGGTTTAAATGGTCTCCGCTGTTGCGCCTGCAGTCCGAACATCGCGGTTCATACTTCTGCTGTGGTGTAAGTCCCATTCTCTGTGGTAACAGAAATGAAACTTGCAGAATGAGGTTAAGTCCACTTTCTATGACGAGTCCCTATGATAATTACGCCCTATATTTTACGTCCCTATGATTTTAAGTGTGATTTGTTAACTAGGCTTTCCTTGCCCGGTGAATTATATCGGGTTCACCCCCTAGACCCTATGCGAATTCTACGCCTAGGTCACTGATGGTAAGTACGCCGCTTCTTCTTGGACTTGGTTGAGGCCAAGGAGGCGGGTCCGGTGGGACGAGGGCCGTATCGGTCTGGTGGGTTATTCTTCATCCGGTACCGCTGCTGGGCTTCTGGCTCGTCAACAGTTTGCTCGAGCCAGCCTTCGCGCAGCATCTTTTTGACGATGTATCGCACGTCCTCGCTGAGGTAGTACAACCCGTTGCGGCGACTAGGGGGATATTCATTCCCGTCACTCAGCTGAGGATCGTACGTCGAAAGTTGTACGTCGTATCGTCCAAGGAGTTGATTGGCCATTTCGCCTCTTGTCAGGCCCAAGGGATGTTGCGTGGTGGTCAGTACCGCCAAGATGGCATTCCGCCATTCCCAGTAGCCTTGAGGCGCATCGTCACGTCTTTCCGGTGGGAACGTGTAGAACATCTGCATGTTGGGCAGATGGGTTCGAAGGATGGCTCCTTCTTCATAGGCCGTTCTAATGTATTTCATCACCTTGGACTTGGTGACTGGTGGGCCATTCCATTTCTGGATAAGTTGGAATGCCAAGCCTCCTGTAGCAAGGGTTGTACCCGTTTGGGACAACACCTTTAAGGCTGCCTTAATATATGCCCACGTCTCGTCCGTATTGGAGATCTTCGGCTTCTTTGATGGATCTCCGCCGTACCCATTTCCTCGCCACATTGGTCCTTGGTGGCGGCACATAGTCTATGCGCGGTTTGGCCGGGCATGGGTCGGGTAAAGTCCACTGAATCTCACCGTTATTCGATTCTAGTGAGGTGGAGTCTCGCACTCTGTCCCGTTCGGGCTGTGCACCGCTTCCACTTGGCTCAGCGTCTCCTACGCTGGCCTGACTTTCCCGATCGGCGCCTTCTGCGCTACTTTGATCCTAACTGGCGCCTTCTGCGCCGCCCTGGTCCTCCATGTCCTGGTCACCGTTAGGTGGCTGATTTTCATCACCAGGTGGGATTTCCATGTCGTGGTCCGGTGCGACGTCAATGGTAAGTTTACCAGGGCTCTGATCATCATCGTCGTCCGAGTCGGACTTTTGGGATTCCATAGTTTGGTCCTGGTCCGGCTCTTCTTGTTGTTCCTCCTCCGAGTCCTCCGGTTCGGAGTCCTCAGAGTCCGATACGTCTCGGCCCGGTGGTGGTGGGCCCTTCCTCCCGCTCCTTTTTCCAGCCATGGCCTTTGTGGCCGTGGTCTTTCGACTCTTAGTTGATGTGGCTGATGGAGTCGGTGAAGGAGGTCTGGACTGGCCAGCTGCGTTAGGCAGTGACACAGTGTCCCTTGGCACGGGTCGGATTCCGGCCGCGCGCATTTCATCTTCGGCTTCTTGCCGTGCAGCCTTCTCCCTTCTAGTGACCGATGGTCGAGGAGGCTTTTCGACCGGCAAGTTCTTTGGACCTGGCAGTTTGGCCTCTTGGGAGATTAAGTAAGCCTCCTTGGCTCTGCCGGTCAGCTTGTCCTTCGGCGGTCCAACCGCTTTCTTTCTGTCCGGATCCCATTCTGTGTCAACGTCGTGTGACACGTACAGAGACCGTTGGGTCTTCTGTGGGATGAATCCCGGGATGGTGAAGCGAATTGGTTCCGCCCTGTGTGCGTTGGTCGTTTCTAGGGTTCCTTCCCTAACCAGCGCAATTAGCTCATCGGCCAGTCTGGTAATGAGTTTATCCAGGTTCTCTTCTCCCTGGTAATAGAGGGCATTGAGTGTCCTGGCGATATCGGTCAGGTTGGACCCTCTTGGGTTGTGCAGGTAAGCGATGGTCCTGCATATCTGATGGAAAGGAAAGTCCCTGCTACGGGAAAGTCCTGCTGGCCGATGGGCCACATGTAATTCCATCATATTGTTCCAATCGCGGTGTGTGCGAACCAAAAGTCCCATGTCCGGAATCCGAGATACCATCCGCCGCATAAAGGGTGCCGTTAGTACACGGTCCGCCGGCGGTAGGCCTTGGTATTCTTCCTTATACTTCATACGGGACCGGAGGACGCAGACGAGGCATTGGTACATGTCTCGTCCTGTTGCGCGCCTCATAGCCCTGGCGGCTGCCACGGTTAATCGCACATAGTGATCCGCTGGGACCTCTATGTGTGTGGCCTCCGGTCCAGGATCCGGTAGCTCGGCCTCATCGTCCCAGGGCGAGGGAAGCATGACTTCTTCTGAGGGCGGTTCTGTCCCGAAGCGTGGTTCATACTCCTCGTCCCGCCGTGAGCGATTTAGTGCGGGCTCTGCGGGTTTGTCTGGACTGTCCGATAGGACTTGGACATCTTCATCGCCTGACAGCCGCTTTTCAAGCTAGGCGATTTTGGCCTCTTGACTTTTCTTGTCCTTGGCCGCTTGCTTCTTTTGGCGGTTCCTTTCGGCCTCTGGATCAGATGTTGGCCGAGGTTTGGCCGCCTGGCTTCCACTCGGTTGAGGGGAGTTTGGACGAGTGGTCAGTTTGGCCCTCGGTTGAAGAGAAGTTGGACGAGAGGCCGGTCTGGCCCTCTCTGGGTTTTTGGCTTTTCTCGGCTGCTTATTCCGTTGGGAATTAACTGAGTGGATCACTCCCATGCCAAGTGCCAAGGCGTCCAATGTCCCGGTTACGGGGAAGGTTACTGGACGGCCAAAAGGTATGTCGTCGACACTGGCGGGCATGTTCGTCAATATTGTCGGAGCAGCGGCCGTTGGCCCTGTTCCGGACTGGCTTTGGCCTGCCGATTCTTGTGCCGACAAAGTGGCCTTCGGTGGCTCCTCCTGTTGGACCGGTTTTGGCTGTGGCTCTACGGCCACAGGTCCGGACGGAGAAGTATCCATTGGCTCTGAAGCCGCTGGTGCCTGCGTTTTTGGCGGTACAACAATCAGTGGGGCACTTGACAACAGGGCTTCAGTCATCATTGGGTCTTGCTCCGGTGGGGGAAAGGCCCTTTGATTGCGACGGGTCCGGTAATCTTTTACCGTTCGGTAAATTAATGGCGCGAGCATCTCGGATAACATGTCATATTCTTCCATGTTATTCTGCTCCTTCGCCTCCTGCCTCTTTGTTAGCAGAAATCGATATCGCCGTCGCTCGTTTTGGTCTGCATGGATGTATAGGTGTCTCTACTCGGTAGGAGTGAGAGCACTCATGGGCATCAGGGCCGTGTCAAGTTCCACTTCTTGGTCCGAGACGGCCGGAGTTATCTGCACCGTCATTCTGGCCGATTCTGTGACCACTGGTGCAGGAGTTCTGACCGTGACCGTTACTGGCTCCAGTGATGAACCTGCAGACACAGTAGGTGCTGCGATTCGTTCCACAGTAATGGTCATGGTTGGCTGCTGAGGAGGTGTGGTGTCCATCCTCTCTTTGGTCGGGGACTTGCCTGGCCGGCTCGGTGTGAACCTGGCGGGAGCCGGTTCGATGGCCGGCATGCTGGGCATTCGCGCCGGGGTTGATGTGGCGCGTCCAGGAGAAGTCCTTTTTGACGGCCTTCGTTGAAGGTGGCCGGACCTGACTGGTCTCATATAACGCCCTTTGGATATGTTCGTCTAAATCTTCTTCATTCTCCGACTCCTCGCTAAACGAGACGCCCCAGAAGGCCGCAGGCAGTTGAGGACGTTCGTCCTCGCTTTCTGCCTCTTCCGGTGGAAGTTCGTCTTCCACTGGCTGGCCTGGTCGTGGGCGCGGTTCAACTGTCCATGCCCTTGGATTAATATGTGGGCCTCGTATATAGATGGCGTGCTCAATAATTTCGCTAGGCAACTTGCGTTGGCGAAGGGCCTGGCTTTTGCTCCGCATGGCCATCAGTTTTCTGATGAGGATTGTCCGTTCTTTGACCATCAATTGACAACCTCGGCTGATGCGGTCAATCTCACGGTCCGTTAGTGCTGGATCGCCGGCGCGTAGTCGTTGGCGCATGTCCTCCTCAGTCAGATTTAAGCGTAGGTCAACTTCTATGATCTCGCTTACAGCCCTGTTATGCGGGTCATCCCATGACTCCGTTTGAGTCAATCGAATGCGATGCCTCGTGGAGGTTCGTCCCGCAATGGCTGAGTTATTCCTGACGGAATTGCTGGTGCTTCCGGTGGGGAAAGCACGTGTCCCTTGCCAGGAAAGTTCTTCGGCGGCGACTTCTTCTTCTTGGCCGGTAGGCCACGAAGCGTCAAAGTCGGTGGTTCCGCCTTCTTCGGTTTGAGTATGGACGGGCCAGGCCTGGGAGGGCCGGGAACGTCTAAGTCCTTTGGCAGACCACTCCACGCTGGTAGAGTGGGCCTAGTTGGACGGTTAAGTTCCAGGTTTTCACGCGGTCCTCTCCAAGGTGGGAGTGACCGCTGCGAAGGAGGCTCCTCGGCTTCTGGGGGAGTCCTCTTCTTCTTTTTGAACCTGGGCGACTGTGGACCGCTTGTTGTGGCAGGAGCGGCTGGTTCTGGCCTTCCTCCTGTGGATTTCCTGTCCGTTGGTCGAACAACAAGGGTGCCACCAGATGTGTCGCCTTCGATTGGTTTCGGGGTGGGCGGTGATGACACCGTTGGTGCATCAACAGCCATTGGACTTGTCGGTTCATCAGCCGGTTGGACTGGTGTCGACTCCAATTCGACCGGCTTTTCCGGCGAAAGGTCGAAGGTTTTATCAGGCAGGCTCACGTCCATTTCGACGTCCTGCGGTGGAATTTCTATGCTGCTGTTCGGTGTAGCAGCTCCAGCAGTGTCCACAGTTTGGCTTGATGTTGGACCAGGCACCGTTAGGGCCTGGGCCAAATCAGCTGGAATTGGCTGTCCAACTGATGTTGAGGCGGCCGGTTCGTATGTCAGGGCCAAAAGTGCTGGCGCAGACACTGGTGATGGTCGCCATTCATTTACTGGGTCGAAGTCCTTGGGGCGTGCCGTCGTTGACGGGCCAGGTCGTTGGACCTTCCAGTAATCTTTGATAAATTCTCGGATCCATCTTGTGGTGTAGTCCAAAACAGTTAACGATTGGCCGGTAGGCATCGTACTGTTCGGAGTGAGTTCCTTGAGCAGAACCAACTGTTGGGTAGGGCTCTGTTGCTGTTCTGTCAGCCTGACCGCTTCTGGGTCGAATGGGCTGAGATCTTGGATCCGGTTAGTTCGGCGACGATCGATGTCCTCGGCATCTCTAATAAGGTTCTATTTCTCATAGCCTGAGGATCGTCATCCTAATGGGTCCGGTGTCAGCATCGCGCAACCGTTAGTCCGCTGCTGCTTGTTCTTCGTCCCACTGTTGGCGTAAAGTCCGAGGGGTCGATTGATTGTCGTTAACCAGTTGGTTTAACACAGGAAAGTCGTCCGCATAAGCTGGTCTGCCTTGCGTAACGTTGGCCCTCATTATTTGAGCCAACCGTTCCCGTGTTTCCTCTGGGGCCGCGTATATGGGACCAACGTCTTCGTCCGGTGGGACTGCAAGGCCAGGTACTGGTATAGGATCTGGCATGTCGAACCATTCAATATCGCTGTCGGTTTCTGTGTCCGGCGCGCTGGCTGGTCGACTAAGTGCCGGTCCGGCTGCGAATGGTTCAGCCGGGATCCGCATGATTCTCAAAAACCGCATCCCCAATTCTTCTGCCGGTTGGCGTGTTGAGGAAAGTGTCGGCGTGAGAAGTCCAGTTTGTCCGACACGTGTTGGCTGCCCCGGTCGGGGTTTAGGCAACACGCGCCTAAGTGCTTCATCGATCAGGCCAAGCTGGTATTGTCGGTTACGGAAGCGCGCAGTGCTGGCGCGTCATTGGCCGTATTTAATGGCTTGTCCATAAACCGCAGCATGGCCCGTCGGATCCTGGTTATGTATTCCAGGACGCGTTGGAATTCTAAGTCCAACGCGACTTTTCTCCGTATAATGGCGATGTCCACGCCTTTCAGACTGCTGATAGTCTTGCGGATTTCCTCTTCTAGGACTTCCGCGGCGTGAAGTTCGCGCTCCAAGGGCGGTATATCCGGGTAAGCACTCAGGTCGTACGGAGAGGATGCTGGTTCTCGCAGTTCCAATCCAGTGGCCGTTAACATTGCCTCGTCGGTAGACGTAAGCTGGGCTACCGGTGGCGCGGAAGGTTCCCCTGTCGTAGCGGTAACTGCGACTGTTGGGTTCTGTGGGGGAGGCGGTGCTTACGGTGCTGGTGGCGGACGTGTTGGTGCTGCGGATCCTTCTGTCCTCAGCTGTCTGTCCGTCCGGTGCTGTACCAGCTGATCCCTCAGCCTGCGAGATGCCGCCAGCAATGCCTGACCGGTTTTATCTCGTACTGAACCTGGCGGGTCGCAATTTCCTCGCTAAGTTCATGTGCGAGGCGCCGGAATTCTTCTTGGTCGAGGAGGATGCGCTGGACCAACTCACGGTAGTTAAGGCTGCGCCTGTCCAACTCTCGAATCATGGCCTCCAGTTCTTGGATGGCATTCTCTACATCCTTCAGATTGTCCTGAAGTTGATAGAGTGGAGTCCGGCCGTCGGCCAAAAGTTCGGTAGGGGATTCGATCCTCATTGGCGGGGTAACTGGATCCAACTGGACGTCCCCTTCATCTTTCTCTTCGTCTGGAATTGGCGATGACACAGGTTCTGTCGGTGGGACAGTCTGGTCGCGCCCGGCCAACACTGGGTTCAGTGCTGGCCCTGCCGCTGGTTCCGGTTCGGCTAGGCCAAGTAGGGCCGCCAATTCTGGTGGAACCTCTTCTGGCCGGCTGTAAACTCTAAGTCGTCCGTCCACGAATACCCGTAATGGGTAATCACGTAACCCGTCGGGCCGTGATGTACTTGGCTGGGGTTCCGGCGGCGCTGGAGTTCGATACGCTTCCGATCCCGCTCGTGGGGGCTCAATGGATGAGTCAGACGGCGCCTGGCCCGTAGGGTCAGGTTGTGCCGCTGAAGGTGGGCTATACGGCGGTTGGCCGTATGCTCCATATCCGCCATAAGGCGGTGGATATCCATAAGGTCCAGGCGGATACATCCACGGTGGTGGGTATCGCCATTGGTTTGGATCTGGCTGCGGCTGGTTTGAAGGTCCAGGCGCAGGATACGGTGGATACCCATAATGTGGATTGTAGTATGGCGGCGGGGTAAACTGTGGCCGCGGTCCAGTGTGGAAAGGCGTAGTCGTGACCGTTGGCCCGACTGCCGCAGTTGTAAAAACCGGCTGACTTGCCGAAATGGTCGGTAGGCCACCATACAGAATTGGTTGAGGTGGGCCTGTTTGGCCACGAGGATAACATCGGACCGTTTGGCCCGACGTAGAGCTTGGCTGGCTGCCAGCTACTGCTGCGTTCACCAGGAGTCCGGTATCGTCAGAGAATGTCCCTGGCGGCCAAAGTTGTGGCGGAATGGCTCGAGGTGGCAGAGGCTGGGACCGCGGTAGCGGTGTGTCGGCCCGTGAACTGGGGCCGACTGACATAGTAGCCAGCTGCTCAGCGGTTAGAATGGCCCTAATGTTAGGTACCTGTACACTCGGAGGCCGGTTAGACGACCGAGTGGAAGATCCGCCCGACCGGGATTCCGGTTGTGAATATGGATGTGATCGGTTGCTTCGGTCGGAGTCATCTAAGCGATCAGTACGTCGACGTCCTTCCATCGTTGAATGGGGCGCTGTCACGAGACGAATCACGCGGTGTTAGACTCCTACCTACTTGATTAATACGGCTAGCTACTTCTAAGCTACCATGTCGAGTATCGGGCCAGATTAAGCTACTTCTAAGCTACTGGTCATTTAGGGTTAGGTTAGTTGATTTTTAGGTTAGTTAGTTTCGATAGCAGATCACGGTAGCGATCGTGGGACTTTAAGGTTAGTTAGACTAATTCTAAGTCTACCATGTCAGATATTATTTTACTATTTCAGAATGACGTAAAACACTTTGTCCAGCCTTATCAACCGCCTTGTCCAGTACATTCGGTGGGACTGTACTGGACTTGTCCGATACGCCCGGTGGGTGCGTATTGGACTTCTGCTTTTTGCCCTTTGAGACTTTCTCAGATTTTTCCCGTCCCGTGGTTATACGGGTGAGTAAGTCTTTATCCGCCTCATTATCAGCAACTACGTCCTCTTCTAGGACTTGCTGGGCCGTAAGGGTTGCCTTAGGCTTCTTGGGCGTCTTTGGTCTTTTGGGCTTCTCTTTGGGCGCCGTGGCCACCTTTGGCTCTGCGGTCACCGCTGGCTTGTCCGTGACGGATGTCCCTTTTTCTGGTTCCGCCGGGGCCAAAGTTGGGTCAATGACGGTTAATGGCTGGTTTTGAAGCTTGGTCAGCGCTGGTGTCTCGAAATCCGGTTTGGCCTTTCGAGGTCGGCCTGGGCCACGCTTCACTGTTGTTGAGTCTGAAGTCTTTGGGTCAGGTGGGCCATAGCCTGGGATTTGCAGCTTCTTTTGCTGCTCCGCCACGAGTTTTTTGGACGGGCCCTTTCCGGGCTTCTGCTTCCTCAGCAGCTCCTCCAATTTACTCTGGGCCTGTGGGAGCTCTGCGTTTTGTCCCGGCTCTGCCTTGTTGTTGCACCTTTCCGACTCTGTGGGTTGAAGTTCCGCGTCGCCGCCCTTCTTTTTGGTTGAGCGAGTTATTCTGCGACTCGGGCCTTCCGGGTTAAGGTATGGCTTTAGGCGATCGACACATACGGTGTGTTCCACACCGGTGTCCCGCTCTCGGATCCAGTAAGTGTTCGGCTTGGGTATGCCGATGACGATGTAGACGCCTTCGAACTTGTTTGGGTTGGTCGGGTCGTCTACCATATTCTTCAGGGTGATCAAGTCCCGCTTCTTGAACTCGGCCTGCGACTTCTTTTTGTTGTAGATGGCCGCGTCCCTGAGGAATCCTTCTTCAATCCGCGTTTTCCCAATTTCATGCGCCCGGTTCAGGCGCTGTTGCATCCTCTGGACATAACGTTCGTTAGTCGTAAATATTTCTGGGACGTTGGTCCCAGCGAGGACGTCTTGTGGTATGGTCATTTCTCGTCCATATAGCATGTGATACGGCGAGAATCCAGTGGTTGCGTGAACGGCACGGTTCATGCCGGAAATCACGTAAGGTAGGGCCCGGTGCCAACGATGTTCGTCGCCGGCGCCGCCAAAGTTACGAATTCCGTCCCAGATCGTTTGCATCTGGCGTTCGACTTGGCCTTGGCCCTCTGGGTGGTAAGCGGATCCGAAGGTCTGCTCGATGCCGAAGATTTTCGCCACTTTGGCGAAGGATTTTGCCTTAAAATGCGTGCCCCGGTCGGAGTGCATTGTATGTGGCATGCCGTACTTTAGTACGACTTCTTCGACAAAGAACTTCTCAAATTCCTTGGCCGAGTTTGTCTTGGTCGGCCGGGCTATGGTGAACTTCGTCATTTGGTCGACCAGCACAGCGATGTACCGGTATTTCTTAGTTTGGGTGACCGGTACAGGTCCTTTGAAGTCGGCGAAGACGCGGTACCAAGGTGCAACAGCTTCGGTCGGCTGCAGCTTACCGTAGGTAGCTCGCCGCGGTACTTTGCCAAAAATATACGTCTGACATCGATCGATGTAGTCGTGTATGTCGCAGCTCAAGCGGTCCCAGTAGTACCTGAGTTTGGCTGCTTCAATCGTCTTGCGGTATCGAAAATGGTTCCCTGTTTTTCCATCGTGGAGGGACTGGATAATGTTTTTCCACATAAACAGAGGGACAACGAATCTCCTTTCGAGTTTCGCATTGATTTCGGTGAGTCGGTAGAGCACACCTTTGTCCATCTGGTAATGTTCAGGTAATTTGGACCTTTTGTCCATTTCGCTTTGATGTTCCAACTCATGGATTTTCTTGGCCAGAGTTGGATCGCGATGTTGCATCCGTCGCAGTTCTTGCGCGGTGCGGTCCGTGACTTTTTCTGGACACGGTGGGACTTCGGGCTCTGGCTCTCCCGGTGTGGGCGCCGGTACATTGATGACCCGTATGTCCGCCGTGCTGAATTCATTCCAATCACTGATTGCGTTACAATCAAGTAGGAGAGGCTTGTCCCATTCATCTGCGCGGTCCTCGTCAGTTACTTGCA